CACATCAGAACGTGTCGCAAGAAAGCAGACCTGAGGTTGCCATCAGCCACGCTTCCGGCCGTAAGGGCTTTAAGTGAGGAGCAGTCTGGATTGAAGTCTGCGACGGATCACTACAGAACAGCAAAAATGACATTTCTACTGCTCAGGGGACTGAAAGAGTGAAATCAGAGAGAAACTGCTAAAAATTATGTGATTACATTCTTCATTTACTGGAGTCAATAGGATAAACCTCCCAGGTTTATCTCTGAATTTGTGCTGTAAGGAAAACCGGTTATCTCAAGTCCTTGAGATACAAGGACCATCTGTGCCCTTGTAAAGCGACCAGGGCACAGATGACGGCGTCGGGGGCTGGCTGCTCAAAGCATTGAAACCCTGTCCACTCTGAATGCAGGCAAACTCTTAAAAATGCAGAGAGTCTTGAAAAACTACGCTCAGAACAGATGAGAGCAGAAGCACCGACTCCGAGCAGTAACCCCAGAGCAGCCAAGAGCTTTTCACGCCGAGAGGGCAGCCGCCGAGCGGCGCGCGAGCAGGACGGAGGGGCCGGAGGGACGGCAGCGCGGCCACCTCGACCCCGCTGGCCAGGGCACCGCTTCGCTCCTGTCGGCAAAACTATTTCACTACACGATACACGCGCACCATTTGCTACTTCAGGCCTTTCCAACACGTCAGAAGATCACGTTGTATGAAATTAAGGTGGAATTCAAAATCATTACGACATCGGAGAATAAGAACGATTCCCTCATGTCAGTGCATCAATCTTGATTTTTTTTCAATGGTTGACATCTGAAAGTTAGTAAATTATTTCAAGTAGCGCACTCAATACCCTTCTTTTATATTTTAAAAGGTTATTAAATTTAAATCAAATGGCTTTATAAATATTCCATAAAGATTTCGTTCATTTTGAAAAAACTGAATTACGATGACTATATTCTTCCAGGCCTTTTAACGAAAATTCTGCACTAAACAAGGCATTTTAGGCAGCAAGACTCCCAGGGACCCCGGGGCTACTGCTGCCTCTACCCCAGGCAACTCCCGGGAGTCGGCCCGAGCCAGGGCGCTTCCAACGGGCACTGCGGCACCTCTGGAGCAAGCTCAGACTTCATAAATTAATTACCACCTCTGCTTCCATCAATAACATTGGAACAGGGTATTAGCTCTGCTGCAGAGTTTCTCTTTAAGCCCCAGTAGACCAACACGCTCTAAACACCACACTGGATTTTCATGGCGGCAGCAGTAAAAAAAGAAGGTAAAAATAATTAATTAAGTAATTTAGCATAACTGCAACAGTGGGTTCAGAGGCCTGCTAAGGTAGAGTTGATCCTAATAAAAAAAATAGCATAGCTTTAACTGACGTGATCTAAAATATCAACCGTTTTACCTCTACAACTTGTATCAGGTGGAAAACTGATTATCAAAGATGCTCTGGCTAAAAAACACAGACCTGTTTTAACTTGCATTTATGGACAAATGAGGTTGTGATGGGGCTAGAGAGAGAATACTGCTGCGTATTTATCACAAGCAAACTTTACTTTTAGTTTCCTAAAATAGGAAAAAAAAAATCACAGAAATGTAAATGCCATTCTTCAGTAGCGGAGCGAAGCGTTTTTTGCTAGACGTGTTAGCAGAATCAAAAAACATTTAGATAAACAAATATACCGCTCCCAAGTTTAAGAAGTGATATACTTCATTGGGTTTCTTACCACTGCAGCACATATTCCTGTATTATTGATTTCTTCAGTATTCTATATTGATTTATTCAATATTTAATAATATTCTCCTATGTTATGGCTGCCTCCCGCGCCTCCTGTGTTCCTGTATGGCCGTTCCCACCTTCACAGCTTTCTAACAGGTTCTTCTCCCTGCTCACCTCCCTCCTTGTTCACTACTGGTCTTTTTTTGTCCAGTTTTGCACAACCTCAGTTTCCTGACGAGTCTGAAACCTAGCAAATACGTTATTTCCGCAGATCCTTTGGTGTTCTGGAAATATCTAGACCCAGCCACGGCTTTCCTCCAGAATCGGTTCATCCCTCCACCCGGAGAGTCATCCTAACCGAGAGTAACTCAGGAGAACTTTGCTTTTTTAAGGCTTTCTGATAATCCACCTACTTCACACTCGCTCAAGGTCACCGTTGCACACGGTTTCTGTACATCTTTCTTTCTCCCGTCGCGTAACTATTCCATGTCTCCTTCCCAATGTATCTGACAACCTATTTGATCAATTTTCACAAACACCTTTGAGACCAGAGCGTGACAGACACTTCTCGCTTTGCGAACACGAACGGCGGCTGCGCACAGAGCTCCGCAGGGGTGAGCACCTCAACCAGAACCAAGCAAAAAGGTCACAACACCCTTTCGACTGCAAGGCACGAAGCCAGATGTTGTAGTTTAAGCCTGGAGCATGGAGGAGTTCAATCTGCTGCTGTCCCAAACCAGTATTCATTAACCTAGCCACAACCAGCCGAGACTGAGCACACAGCTTCTTAAACAGATACTTCTTGTACGCAGACCCTCGCTGTAGTAACAGAAATCTTCATTCATGCTCCCCAGTTCCCAGCCTGCTTCTTACCACATTTTTGTTCTTATAGTAGCTCTTACTTTGAGTTATTCTTGCTATAAAACCAGAAGGAATAATGAAAATATTTCATCTTTTCATAGCGAGCCCTTGTACGCAGGAGGATCTGCCAGGCTGGGAGCCACTCAAGAAGCAACAGGCACCCCACCAGCACGGCACCCGGACAGAGCCAGCGTCTCGCACTCTCCCCAAAAAGGATTCCATTTTATATTATAAACTCCATTAAAATAATAAACAATAGTGAAAAACGTTTCTAACCCCTCCGGTGCTCTAACGGCAATGTACTTCTCTCTAGAAACACCTTGCAAAAGCTGACTGAAATGTTGCACGTCCAGCCCAAAGCTACGTTTAACAGCCCAGGCTGCGGCACCCTCCGGCCAGCTCCTTCACCCTCCCCTCCTCTGCAAGCAGCACCCACACCCCCGGCAACGTCTACCGCCTGTCTAACTTACTCCTCCAAAGACTCTCACCGTTGGGTCTGCACTGATTTGTTACTA